CTGTTTAGCAGAATTGTTTTATTTTAGCGCACTGAGACGTTGTCTAGCATGAATGGTGGCCTTTGTATTCAATATTCCATTACTTACAGCAAGTTGTCCAGGTCCTGAAGCAGGAAAGCAAACCCAGACCATCACACTGCCACAACCATGTTTGTCTGTGGCAATGTTTTACGTCCCTCGGCTTCGCTAGGAGCACGATGTGTTTAGGGAGTAAAGAAGATTTTGTACTGGAAATGAAACAAACACTTTTACAGTTCTCTATAAGATATTTATTAAACAAAAACGAAGCTCTAGGCTGAAAAGGGAACAAAAGGGTCATCCAAAACTGGGTATTAATAAACAAAGGAATTTCCCAATAAAGAAAAACGATATCTAATAATAAACTAAAAGCGCAGCACATAGGCTGGAATAAGGCTAAACAGTAAACGCAAAACTGCACCAAAAGGGTGAGCAAGTCTCTCTATAACGAGGACACACGAATTACTATTAACAATACCAAAAACTCAAAATACCACTAAGGTAGTGAAACAAACGAAAATACCACTCAGGTAGCGAATCGAAGACTTTAACATCTGTAAGCGAGGAGAGCTAGAGAGGAGAGCAAACACCTCCGTGCCAACACCCATCTGCACATCTCTCCCAGAATATCTCCAAGAGCTCCCTTTTAACAGGGAGGCTCAATTTATCTAACAGCCTGCAGCTGTGCAGGCAGCGGACCGAGGGCCTCTTGTGGCCAAAAGTAGACGGTGCACGTCACACTCCCCCCCTCAAAACAACAACTAAAAGGAAAAGAAAAATGACCATAGTTGTTGTAACCGAATGAACTAAAGAGAACTCCCGCTATCTACACACAAAAAAAACTAACTAACTAACCCCTAGATCTCAAAGGTGGGCAGATTAAACACAAAATATCTCACGGCGCTGATCCCCAGCGCCGCGGAGTGTTCCCGAGATGTCTGAATGAACAGACAACACTAGCCTTATCAGAGATCGAACAATCTAAAACCTACAAGGGAGTCTCAATCGAAAAACTGCGGGAAAGGGCGTCAGCCATGAGGTTGTCTGTCCCTTTCTTGTGGCGGATGTCCAAGTTGAATTCTTGGAGGAGGAGGGCCTATCTCATAAAGCGCTGATTGTGGTTGTACATTCGGTGGAGGAAGACCAGCGGATTATGATCTGTAAAGACAATGGTGGTGAATGTACTGTTGCCAACATAAACAGAAAAGTGTTGCAGGGACCATATGAGGGCTAGGGTCTCCTTCTCTATTGTGGAATAATGACTTTGTGCTAGGTTAAACTTCCTTGAGAAGTAGCAGATGGGGTGATCAAGTCCACCAGCATCTTCCTGGAGAAGCACAGCTCCGGCTCCGGCATCAGAGGCATCGACCTCAAGCTTGAAAGGTCAGGAGCTGTAAGAACTGGAGCACAACAGAGTAGGTCACGCAGAGCAAGGAACGCCTGGTTACATTCGGAGGTCCAAGAGAATGGGATATTGGTGCTTAACATATCTGTGAGAGGTTTGGCAACAGTGGAGAAGTTACGGCAAAAACAGCGGTAATAACCAGTCATGCCCAGAAATCGACGGAGTTCTCTGCGTGTGGTCGGTGGCGGAAATGAAACAATAGCCTGAATTTTATCAGACAGCGCCCTCACTTGGCCCTGTCCTACTTCCTTCCCTAAATAACGGACAGTGGCTTTCACGAACTCACACTTGGCGAGGTTTAGAGTCATATTAGCCATCTTTAAGCGGTCAAAGACTTGAGCTAAAATCTGGAGATGCAGATCCCAGGACTGAGTGTAGATGACTATGTCATCAAGATACGCGCTGCAATGAGGCACATCACACAAAACCTGGTTCACTAGACGCTGGAAAGTAGCGGGGGCATTCCTTAAACCGAACGGCAACACGGTGTACTGGAGCAGGTTATCTGGAGTGACGAAAGCAGACACTTTAGATGCAAACGGAGTTAGTGGCACCTGCCAATAGCCTTTTAAAAGATCTAGTTTAGTGACAAATGTGGCTGAACCCACACTATCCACACAGTCTTCTACACGAGGCAAAGGAAACGAATCTGGGACGGTTTTTGCATTTAACTTGCGGTAGTCCGTAACAAACCTATATGAGCCATCAGGTTTATTTTCCAATAAACATGGCGAGCTTCAGGAACTGGTGCTGGGCTTTGCTAGGCCATGTTCTAATAGATAAGTTACCTCCTTTCTCATTAGTTCCCTCTTCATCGGGCTAGCCCTGTAAGGGTGCATACGAACGGGGACGGAATCAGTAAGGCTGATGTCATGAGTTATTAGGTGGGTCTGACTGGGCACGTCTGAAAATAGTTCCGGATAGGAGTG